TAGGTTAGTTTTATTAAATATTCTGCGTAAAGTTTTTATAAATATAGTTTATAACACAAAAAGCACTTAAAGCTATACAAAACCAATTATATTTTGCGATTGTACATTTAATGAAAAAAAAAATTCTAATCAACATGATATAGAGCGCTTCAACTATTCGTAAAACGAAATATTGTGTTTTTATTGTTTAATACATTATATACTATTAGTACTTATGCCATTTGTTCATTATGTCACCTAATCATTGTATCTAATGTTTGTTATACTAAAGGTTTATTATAAACATTGAAACTATGCCTTTTGTTGTTATAACTTTTGTTGATTATATACAGTGAATGATTATACCCTTAGAAATTATATAAAATGTTGTTATACAAAGTGAACATAGATTATTTGTTGTTATATCTTCCATTACACACAGCCGCCTTAAAACTGCGAGCGCACAGGCGGCGGCGAGCAAAGACTACCCGTTTGCTTCATTCTTAAACCCTTTGACCGCCATAGACTGGACATGGATGGAATGCGTCGTACATTAACTTAGAAACCCTTAAATTTTTCAATAGAAATTAACAAATAATTATTAAGATATTCCATGTAGTATTTGTATATTCTAGTTAAGTATGAATCCATATTTGTATTTTACGTTCAGTTATGTTCTTCTTTAACTTAGGAGAATTAAATTAATGAAAGGTTTTGAATTGAAATTCATAACATAACATTACTAGGCTTGGCGTCTAGGGAACGAGACTAGTTTTTGTCAGTGACAAAACGTTGAAATCTTGCGCAGGATTGCACACAACACTAACAACGTCACTTTCTAAACTATCATCAACGTACCTACCACGTAGTGCGTAATATTGTTTTCCAGCCTTGGGATTTGGGGTCGTCATTCGAATTTTAACTGTGATAGTGGATGGTCGGTACCCCCGGCTGGAAAATGTCGTTTAATGAATTTCTCGCCGTCTACCTCACGCGCTTAAAAGCCTATGCAATCACGATACCATATCGCAGTCTGTTTATATTGAAACCCATTACCAGTAGGTACATTATTTGCAATTATTCTATACCTCTATTTTCTTATATCTAAGAACGTAACATATAATTTATTTCACATATTTCCGTGCAATTTTAGGAATTACATACATTTCCTAGGAATTGTATACAATGACGGAATACATACATTTCCGGTAACATATAATATATACATAATCTAGAGGATATGTTTTGTGTGATTATCACGGAGAGTGTACGGAGATTTAATTCCGCCTTCCCTTTTCCATCACCGTGGAACTAGACGTAGTAGGTTTGAGATGCGCCCTAGGTTGTGAATATACCAAAGATTCGCACGAAGCGTACCTACGTTTCCACATTTGTATGGCGTACGGCTATGAAATGGAATTCCCTGCTTACAGCCTTATTCCCTGAACGCTATAACTTGGACCTTTTCAAGGCGAGAGTGTATAGGCATTTACGATATCGTCGATCTCATCGTCACTTTCCTCATTCCCCTTGTGTCAAATTCACACTTATATTCTATAAAAAATATTCTCTTTCTCTACAATCTTCGTGGTCATCGTCATATTTAATAAATAAAAAACTGTGTTCATTGCAGTTCTAAGTATTCCTTAAATGGTGTTTACCGAGATATTTAACAGACTTAGCAGGAAGATAAACGACGTAAAACAAACCAAAGTGTATAATATAAATAATTACTCATCTGACGGGCATGCGTCTCTTCACTCGTCCAATAATTTAAAACCCAAGTAAAAAAAATCGTTTCAAATATTTACTTAGTTTTAGTTATAATACCGACTCACCGATTTTAAAATTCAAAATTCGTTCTTAGCGATTCACTGACAATACAGTGTTTTTTAAAAGAGACGATATGGGGATATCCAAAGCATAGGAACCTTTAAGCCTTTTTTTCATGAAAACAATCTTAGCATAGTCAATTCTTCAGTCAAGAGTGAGTTGTTCATAAAAATAAATTAAATTGATCAATATTTTTTTGTGCTGTGTGATGCAGTTTCATGAAGGGGTCATTTCATTGTACGGGACTGAAAAATTGGGACAGCAAAAGTTGGTCAAATTTCATGACATATTTTTGATACAAAATAAATAAAATTGACAATTTTTTATTTAATGCTGATAAACTCTTCTTATAAAGATGATTTCATTGTATGGGATAAAACAAATGAAACAGCAGAAGTTGGTAAAACCTAATTAAATTATTTTTCATACATTGAGTCTACATTAAGACCTAATTGCTGAAATTTTTTTTAATTATAATATTTATTTTTAATTATATTATATATTTTTATAATTATTTAATTTTAACACCAAGTGACGGGACGAATGAGTCGTGCGCCTGGTGGTAAGCGACACGCCAGGCCATAACAGTTGCAGTGCTACTCAGCGCTTTAAATCGCAAAGATCTAAGGCACACTGCCATTGCGTCATCACCCTCAGCTGATATAAGTTGACAAGTCTCATGTGCCTGTAATTTCACCAGCATGTTACTATGTATTCGTGTGATAGAATCTAACTTTATCAGTATTTACATCTAATTTTCCGCACTAGATTTCAACCTTGAAAAAATAATATACTGTATAAATAGATATATCGTCATCCTGAGACGTAAGTTGACAAGTTCCATGTGCCTGTAATTTCACCCCCTTGCCTTTCAAAACCGGAACACAGTAATGCTGACATTATTGCTTGGCGGCAGAAATAGGTAAAGTTATAGAACTACCCAGGATGAACTCTTTCACAAGGAGCTCCACTGTTATTAAAAAATAGCTTATATTGCAAATATCTAAGGGGCTTTGCCACTACGCCCACAAATATAACAACACAGTACGTTTTTGTCGCAGGTGTACATCTTAGCCGATGGGCAATGCGTATACAACGGATCTAGCGAGAACACGATCCCCTATCTCGCGTCCGTGGGTCTGCAGTGTCCCATGTACCACAACCCAGCCGACTACAGTAAGTCTTGAGTTTATGTAAATTAATATAAGGGTCGATACTAAGTCAGTTCGAATTCAAATTTTTCCCGTACTAATACGGTTCAGTTTTCTTGGGTCGAAACACTGGCTTTATTTCAGAATTTATTTTTTTACAAACGAAATTAACGCCATTTGAAAAATGTATAGGTACCGCATAATATACGTGTTCTATTCAATTCAGTTGATATAAAACAATCATTAGCATACGTAAAGCACCTGTTGAAAACAACGGTTTTCTTCATTGACTTACAATTATATGGACGTCGGGTCCGCGCTAAAAAGTGTCCGCACTTGTAAGGCGCTAAAATCGTATACAGAGCGCCAAACTCCGCTTTAGTCTTCATTTGTTCTACTGACAGCGCGATACTGCGATGACATTACAATTTAAATTTCGAATAGGTTGACTTGGGACATTTTTTTCGTGGTTTTTGTATTAGACCCGTCGTCCATTTATTTGTAAGTCAATGGTTTTCTTGTAAAATTTCGATATAAGTTTGTTTTTTTTTCTATCGTGAAAATTTTGAGGAATCGTGTTTTCACACCATATTTTTCCAAAGTGATTAATAAAAAAAAAATGAAAATATAAAATGTACAAAGGAGTCCGTAACAGTCCCATTGTCATCAAGAAGTCAGAATCTAAAAATAATTACAGTGACATTATTGATATTCACCATGACTCTCCTCTCAGCACTCGTAAAATTTTTTTTAATTTATTAAATTCAGTCAAATAGGAAATGAAACTATTTTTCCGGATTTAAATCGCGTATATTGTTTTTTCAAACAAACCGACGTTTCGGGCCCTTTACAGGTCCCATGGTCACGGTTGAGTCAACAAATATACGCGATTTAAATTCGGAAAAATAGTTTCATTTTCTATGTGTAACAATCGCGAAAACCTAAGAATTCAGTCAAATAATGCAATCGTAAAAGTAGTGTACGCATCAATTTCTATTCATATTGCTTTTTGTCAAAAGTGTAAGTGTTAATTTTATTTTAAATTTTAGTTAAACATAGTTAGTTTTAGTGCATGTTGTGTTTACCTCTAAGTGTTTGTGGCAATTACATCACTTGTAAAGGTATGATAAGGTATAAATAAGTAATATGGTACACAGATGTTGGTAAACCTAATAAATAAACAAATTAATCTGATGAGACGATCCCATGGAAATAGAAAAAAGCCGAGCAAACTTTTGAGGTCAGTTTTTTTTCCAATTAAAAAGTTGCAATTATTTTGATATAGCTTTGTTAAACTTATTGTGCCATCCTTCCAAAAAGTTTATTGTTATGTGACGTTGACTTGTTTACATGTTCGATAATAAGCAAATTGTCCAAATAAATCAATATTTTAAAAGAATGTTCAAAACTCCATTTTTAACCGACTTAAAAAAAGAGGAGGTTCTCAATTCGACTGTATATTTTTTTGTATGTATGTTACGCGATAACTCCGCCATTTGTGAACCTACTTCGATGATTCTTTTTTGTTGTAGAGACCTCCATAGTGGTCCCATTTAATTTCGAAAAAAATCATTCACCTCTGGGTGGCTGTTCACGCATGAACATTCATTTTTATAAATAGCGCCTAAGTTTTATTATAAGGAGCAATTATGTTAATGGTTGATTTTGCTGTTCTCCAATTCAAGGCGTTTTTCTCTCTCAATATACTTTTAGTAGTGAGAACCGATTTTTATTACCTCCTGTGCCAAGTTCCGTATAGTGGCGAACTAGGGGATGAATCTGGATTTACGCACTTTCCCGTAACGGATTTCAATAAAATTTGGCAAATAGACGTACTTCCACGTATTTTTGAGGTCGGTTTTTTTAGTACTCTGTACTGAGATTATAAAATGTCGTGCCGTTGACTTGACATTGGCACGACGAATCTGTCCTCTAATTCTTATGATACCAACTGTTATGGACAGCCACGACTGTCGCCTAAGTCGAAACGATTCACAACTTGTACAGTGCAGTGCCACTCAGAGCTTTAAATCGCAAAGATCTGAGATGAAGCATCTGAAGAACCACTGCGCCCGTCATCCTGAGACATGGGTTGACAAGTCTGTGCCCGTAATTTCACCAGCACCTTTACTCTTCAAAACCGAAACACAGTAATGCTCACATTACCAGGGTTGTAAATAAACCCAAGTCCGGGAGTCTACATTCATAAACTCGACTCAATTTGGTATTAATGGTAAGCGACACGCTTGGCATAGTAATAGTCGAAGTTGTTCACAACGTTTAATCGAAATCAGAAGACGTTTAATTCATTATTTTTTAAATTACTTAAATTTCTGTTTTTTTATGAATCCGGGACCCTAGACCCTAGCGGGATGAACAAGCTTAGACGATGAGTTTAAGCGAACAAGTCGTGCGCCTGGTGGTAAGCGACACGCCTGTGCGTAACAATTTCATTATAAAAATAAATTGAAACGACAAGTTGACGTTCAATTTGAAAAAAGAATTAATTCTCTCGCCAGGGCTGGTAGCTGTAAAGGTATCCAACTGGGTGATAAAACTTTCATAGATTTGTCATAAATGGCGCTACGACTAAAAAGTCATTGTAAAACCAAATACAAAGAGACGACAACAAGTACATAGAAATATTCGTAAGGTCCGCTGGTGCATTCCGTGGCTTAGTTGGTATAGCGTCTGCCACGGTATGCTAGATGACGTCGGTTCGAATCCGGCCGAATCGAAGGATTTTTTTCTGAGTGTTCGATCTTTGTATTAATAATTACAATTCAATCGTTTTTTTAATTTATCAAACGTTCTGGTTTACGTGGCCAGGCTCATGTGAACATTGTTATCCAAGTGTACTTGAAACGTGTATTTTATGATGATTTTATGCGTCACTAGTTTCATCCATAGACCAAATAAATTTTGTCATACACCACGCACACACAAATTCCCTACTCATTCGATGGTATTTTTTTGTCATGCGCCACTATTAATACTTTATAACGTACATAGCAAAGTAAAAAAAAACGTAAATCCTTTAAAACACTCGCAGTAAAAAACACATCTTAAATTTTTTATCACGTACGTTGCTTGTATCAACATACAGCATTAAATTTGCAATTTAAAAATTTCGAATTGTTTGAATTTGCTTACATAGTGTGTACGTAGGTAGGTAAAATACATATTTACTTGGCACTATGCACTGAATGACAAATGTAGAACTTTGCTTGTGTCCTCGTCTAGACCATTTTTTTATAAATTTGAATTTCCTCTTGTGCTAAAACTAAGTAAATGTACATCCAAATGTGGCAGCATATATTTTTATACAAGTTTCTTTGGTATTACTGCACAAAATACTCGTAATAGTTGATAAACATTATATATCTCCGGAAACAATCCGTTCTTTTGTTGAAAAGCTATAAAAAATATAACGAGAGTGTACCTATTGTTTTGATACAGCCATACAACAAATAACTATAGTATTAAAGGAATTAAATACTTTTTTTAATTTTCTTTTGTTTATGATACCGAGTGATGGGACGAACGAAGCGTGCGCCTTGTGGTACGCGACACGCCTGTCCATAGCAAATGCAGTGCCACTCAGAGTTTAAAATGACAAAGATCTGAGGGGTGCTGCCTAGTGTAGTAACTTAAAAAAAAAACAAATGTTTTTTTTTTCACATTTTTGAAAAAAAACAGCCTCCTGGCTTTTTTCTAAATTTGGTTTGTTTTTTTTTTTCAGAAAAAGTAAAATGAAAAGTGAAATAAAATAAGGCATTAACTTTTGTTATAAGAATATATATCAACATGTTTATTAAAATCAATTACCATGATAATTATAACAAAAATTTCATCTTCATTTGTGGTAGACAAGCTTCAGTGTCACTACTGTTACAGGTGTTACCCACACTTGTAACATCATCAAAATTTTCTGTGTCTTATAAATTTTAAAATCCCCGCATTTTCCCCACATAGCGTCAATCCCACAAAATGCCCAACGCTAGGCAATGACAACACTAGGAGTGCTGCCCATTTATTTTGAGCAATTTATTTATGAAGAATAATATTAACAACAAAAGAGGAAATATAGTAAAAAAAAACGCTATTGTCATATTTTCATTTTCATACTTTTAGAAAAAACGTACTACAGAAAAAAAAAACGGTTTTTTTCATTGTTTTTACCATCTCAGAAAAAAAACGGTTTTTACAACACTAGTACTGCCACTGTGCCCGTCACCCTGAGACTTAAGTTTACAAGTCCCATGTGCGTTCCCTTAAATTCACACTTACCCTTTAAAACCGGAACGCAATAATGCTCACATTACTACTTGGCGGTAGAAATAGGTAAGGTGACAACTTCCCTGGACGAGCTATTACACAAGGATCTCTACTGCTACTAAGTATATGCAAATCTACATCGAGTTCTTAGGTTTTCGCGATTATTACACATAGGAAATGAAAAATTGTTACTCTTATGTAATTAAACAGAATATAAAATAAAGTGATATTTGAGAAACCTTTCAAATATCACATGTAAATGTAATAGATACTTATTATAATAACCAGCTAATATCGAAGCTTGTCAAAGCTACAAACTTTCTTATTTACTATTATAAAATTCAGATTATGTGAATATATAGTAATTATCTCTCAGTCAATGTCATGACCTACTCGGCCCATAAATGTAGGTACTTAAAATAATAGTAGATCTATTCTACTTATTCTCTTAACGCCCCAAACTGTACATAAGATGTGAAATTATTTAAACCCAGACTAAATTATTCATATTATTATGATCACGTAAACACCCAGTGCACATCATAATGAAAATATCGCATTCAAATGTAGCGCTTTATATTCTGTATGACCATAGGGTATCTTGAAAAATCTATTTTTCATACAAAAGTAAGGGTCATGGAAAAATTTTCATTTCGAAAAATTAATAATTTTTCAGGAAAAATAAATGTTTTTCCTATATTTTTCCACATTTGACAGTTGTCACCTATCATAAGTTGAAGATACTGAATAAAAACGATGGAGCCATTGCAAAGACTTTTTTACCTACGATTTTTTTCTTTCGCTGTTGTCTAATCATTTTAAATCCCGTTTTACTCTAATTTGCTTTTAGCTATACAATGTGATTTTACAAGTATTACTCGTATAGTTCACGCGAAATAAGATTTATCTAAACGCAGAACATAATATGAGGATTCGAACTATATTTTTCCAATTTTTTAGAATTTTTTTCGGAAAATCTAACAGTACTTGGACCTGAAGCACGTAATTATATTTAGTACATTTTAATTACATTGTGCGTTTAGAGCTTTTCCAAGACTGTAGTTAATTGGGTTTTAGAAGGTTAAAGAGAGTAACGACATTATTGAGTATTGAGTGTTGAATAAATTAATTTAGTTTTTCAAATTATACTAAACGCCTATCTAAATCTGAAAATATAATCTCAGTACAGAGTACTAAAAAAACCGACCTCAAAAGTACGTGGAATTACGTCTATTTGCTAAGTTTTATTGAAATATCCCCTAGTTCGCCACTATACAGGACTTGACACTGGAGACAATAAAAATCGGTTCTCACTACTCCAAGTATATTGCGAGAAAAACGCCTTGAATTGGAGAAATAGCAAAATCAACCATTAAAATTATTGCTCCTAAATTAAAGTTTAGGCGCTATTTATAAAAATGAATCTTCATGCGTGAACCGTGAGCCACCCTTAGAGGTGGATGATTTTCTTCAAAATGAAATGGGAGCACTATGATTATGATTGAGACGGCGAATATACCAGTCCTATTGTAATACAGTCCACTTTTATTTCACGTCTCTTAGGACCCTAACAACCACTATGGAAGTACCCCCTTACAAACAAAAAAAGAATCATGAATATCGGTTCACAAATACCGGAGTCATCGCGTAACATACATACAAAAGAAAACATACAGTCGAATTGAGAACCTCCTCCTATTTTAAAGTTGATTAAAAAGTATTAAATTTTTTAATAATATCAAGTGACGAAACCAAAAACTCGTGCGCCTGATGGTATGCTATACGCCTGTCCGTGACAATTGCAGTGCCACTCAAGCGCTTTAAATCGCAAAGATCTGAGCGGCACTGCTTATGCGCCCATCACTCTGAGACATAAGAGGATAAGTCTCATGTGCCTGTAATTTCATCAGCACCCTTACCCTTCAAAACCGGAACACAGCAATGCTGACATTACTGCTTGGCTGCAGAAATAGGTAAGGTAGTAGTAGTACTGCCCTGGACGAACTCTTTTACAAGGAGCTCCACAGCTTCTAAACATTTTACATACAAAATTTATTTTTTCTACTAGGTACAACACTTTAGTACGTCGCCTGTGACCGGGCCTCCACTAAATTATACCTTTGTGTTCTTTACAGTACTAGAAGTCGCGAACAAAGAATACGGCGATTTCACGGACGTTCTCGCTAAGAAAAACGCCCAACAAGACTGGACAGAAAAAGCCCCGCAGCCTATTTCCCCAGATCATAGCAATGAAAAAGACATTGGTTTAGTGAAAGAAGACCACGGTTACCGTTGCGGAAAGATCTCTATCGTCGTCCAACCACCTAACGAGCTTTACAAATTTCAAGTGCTAATCAAAAGGTGCCTTATACAGCAATATAGAGACTGGGTAAGCTTTTAAACAACTTAATAATAATAAGTAAGTCAGAAAAGCCTTTACGTCCATACAATATAATATGTGAAAATAGTTATTTGTTATGCAAGGCTGCAAAGTTGTTGTTTGAAGCTTGTACTTATATTGAAACCTGAGCCAGCGAAGGAAGCTAACATTGAATCACGTCTCGCTTCGCTCATGGTTCACAAATAGATTCCTGAGCGTAGCGAGAGTTTCAAGCCACGAGTCGCAAAACAACTTTGCTGCTTTACACACACGCGCGACCTTATCGATGCAGTCGCCCGTTTGCATCGATGCAATCGCCAATAAATCGCAAGAGTAGCGATGCAATCGCGCGTTCCACGAACAAGGCGTTTGCGTGGCTGCTAATAAAAAAGTCATTGTATGTAACCACTCTTATTATTGTTGAGCAAAATCAGCGTGGTTGACATTTTTTTAGGAGACAATAAAACTTTAGGTGCCAATATTTAATAGCAGTAGAGCTCCTTGTGAAAGAGTTCATCCAGGGAAGTATTGCGACCTTACCTATTTCTACTGCCAAGCAGTAATGTTAACATTACTGTGTTCCGGTTTTGAAGGGTAAGGGGGTGAAATTACAGTCACATTGGACTTGTCAACTTATGTCTCAGGGCGCAGTGGCAGTGCCCCTCAGATCTTGGTGATTTAAAGCTCGTGGACAGGCGTTTAGCTTACCATCAGGCGCACGACTTCGTGCCGTCACTCGATATTATAAAACAAATCGAAATATTTCGGTAATATTTGAAGATTGATTAAATGACAGAACTATCCCGACTCCCGATTAAATTAGCCTTCGAACAAAAAGTCGCCAGAAGATCAGTCAAGCCGTTTGGAGCTACGATGCCCCAGATAGACTCAGGTACACAGACAAAGAGTTCAAACTTACAACGCCGTTCTTTTTGCGTTTTTGTTAATAAAGTAGACCACACACAATATTTGGTGTGTTATTTATAGCAGGGAGGGTACAATAGTAAATGTATTATCGTGTACAATGGTGTATGTAATGACTCGAGGTTGGTAATTTTTACTGCCCGCGCTACATACAACGTTATATTTGCGAGGAAAATACAACGTTAATTTACTTTTTGTATGAATAAATATCGCTTCACAACACAACATTTACGGATTTTGCAAATGGCGGGTCTTTTTTTTTAAACAAATTAACAGCTATTCTTTCAAAGATTACCAGTTACTCAATGCAAACTAAATTCATGTATTAGATACAAAATAAATAAATTCTGAAAGTATACAGAATTTGCAGTCACAAAATAAATTTAGTTAAATTACAAATGTTAAGTTGTTTTTATACTTCAAGTTTTGCGAAATATAACTTTTACAGCATAAAATAAAAAATCACATGACATTACGGTCGACTTTGCCTGTATGTCATGACACTGTTTACGAGCAAGTGTGATGAAAAAAATATGCAACACAAGCTCAGCTGTTTTGCACAATTTAATATTCGCTGTTAAAGTAGTTTGCATAGAGATAACCACGAAGTCGTTATATGTTTACTGTACCCGGATTTTTAATTAAAGATGATAAACTGACGTTCAATGAGTAGCTAGTTTTTGTAATGAAATCACTGTGTTATATTTTTTTATTGAATATCATGATTTTATTTTACTACCTATATTTGTCTATTTTTGTGAAAGAAAATACTACACTATCAAGTTTCTTAGGTTTTCGCGATTGTTACACATAGGAAATGAAACTATTTTTAATCAAACTTAACCGTGACCATAAAATATGTAAAGAGCCCAAAACTTTGGTTTGTTTGAAAAAAACAAATATACGCGATTTAGATGCGAAAAAATAGTTTCATTTCCTGTAATATTACACTACACTAGTTTGTTATTACTATTCAAACATAAATAGAAAAAATACAAAGAAAAAATTCTTCGATTCGGCAGGACTTGAACTCAACGTGGCGTTAAGGCAACAGACCCTGACTCGACTCCATTCGGATCGCAGGAATTTTTCTTTTGTCGTTCTCCGATGTTTGTACCAATAACAATAAGAGTATTTGTCTTAAAGATTCACTGACACTCTAGTAGCCCACCAATGTACTCGATGCCCACCAATGGACAATGATATATATATATATATCTCTACCTATAAAGAATTTGATAACAACATTGATAATAATAATAATAACGCACACACTCAACATAGCCCCGCACTAGGGAAACTCTGTGCCGCGGGTGCCATGGACACACACATAGACAACCACAAATTACACCCAAACTCACGAGAGAAATAAATGTAGGTCATACAAATATTTCGCCCGGCCCGGGAATCGAACCTGGGACCTCTGCGTGGCAGTCCGGCATGGTAACCGTTCGGCCACAGAGGCAGTTAAGACAGAAGTAGAGATTAAATGTACCTAAGATTTTTTTCATCACATGAAGTGACGGGACGAACAAGTCATGCGCCTGATGGTAAGCTACACGCCTGTCCATAATAGTTGCAGTGTCACTCAGAGGTTTAAATCAAAGATCTGAGAGGCACTGCCATCTGCGCCCGACATAACGTCGGGGAAAGTGCAATTACGCTTAAACTAGCATTGGATTATGAGTATCCATTTCGGTAATGGTCGTGGCAACCATAGTAGCGTGATTTACGGGAATCTATTATCAGTCCGTAGTATGCAAAAATGAAAATCGTAGCCATTGAAATAAGAAAGTAATAACGTTAAATCTCTTTCCTTAAAAATTTGGTTTACTGCGCGATACGCGCCTTTTAACAATGCTACATACGCGGGTATGCACTATTCCCGACAATAAGTTGACAAGTCCCATGTGCCTGTAATTTCACCAGCACCCTTACCCTTAAAAACCGGAACGCAGTAATGCTAACATTACTGCTAGGCGGCAGAAATAGACAAGGTGGCAGTACTTCCATGGACGAACTCTTTCACAAGGAGCTCGTTGTTGAGCATACTAATAAAAAGTAATAATCAAAAATTTCTAACGTTTCTTTTTGACTCTCTTTCATTAATTTTATAGAGAAAAGAACCAAACCACAGATGACTAAACTTAATAGTTACTAACCAAACACACCACTGTACGATAAACGTGTGGTAAAAAAATAATGTGGTCAACATTATTTTTAAACTGGTATGAGTTTCTTATCTCGAAATAATAATAATCCTACTATACTGGTTAAACAACTGTAGGCCGCACCTAGATGAAAAAGCCCAGAGCAAGCGTTTCCCACCAGGAAGTTATTTTTACGTTATCTATTTCTAATTATCGTTTAGACAAACTAATAGATCGTTTTTTTATTCAAAATAGATAAATATAAGAGGTGAAATTATTAATGGTCTTAATTAAACTACTTATATGTAGCTTCTAGTTTTGCCTATTCTATGTATCTTTAGGAAATGAAATTATTCGTTATTTGTTTTTCAAACAAACCGACGTTTCGGGCCCTTTACAGGTCCCATGGTCACGGTGTATATTAATATATTATATATATATTTATGGTATATTTGTTTGAAAAAACAAATATACGCGATTTAAATCCAGAAAAATAGTTTCATTTCCTATGTGTAACAATCGCGAAAACCTAAGAACTCGCTATGTATCTTTGTTATCTTTGAGTTAGCAACTACCCACGTTTTGTAGAAAGATTGTAATACTTAACATTTCGGTGCTTTACTTTCTCAAACTCGTATCTTATAAAGAGTGAATTAATTAGTCAGGAAATGGTACAACTTTCTATTTATTTTTAATTTCTAATCAAGGATGTTAATTTGGATGTATTACTTTAAAGATAGGCAAAAGCCAGTGTGTAAATATGAATAATAATAATAAATATATAAATAAACAATTAAATAGACAACATCACATACGTTGCCCTGATCCCAAAGTAAGTAGCTAAAGCACTTGTGTTATGGAAATCGGAATCAACGACGGTACCATAAATACCCAGACCCGAGACAATATAGAAAAGATTTTATTTTCTACACTCACCTGGCCGAGGATCGAGCCCGGGACCTCAGAGATGGCGACACCATGAAAACCGGTGTGCAAGTGCCACTCGACACGGAGACCCTCAAAATTAAGGAAAATGATGTGAAATCAGTCTGCAATATTTGTACATACAATCCATTTTTTACATTTCATTAACTTTGTGCTTTAAGATACGAATTTGAGAAAGTAAGGTGACTATTAAATAGAATGATAAGTTTTGTCATTGTATTTTTTTTAATTTTTTTTTTAAGTAATTTTATTTATATTTTATTTAATTGTATTTTCCATTGTACTCACCTTTTGTTATTTTTTCTCATGTTAAGCGAATGGAAGTTCTTAGTGAGAAATAAAATATTTAAATGTAATGTAGTAAGTAGATATTTCACAGAATTAGAATATAATATATATATATATATATATATATATGTAAATAAATTTCATTCTTAAAGGCCAATGAACTATGTCGAAAGTTCGCTGTCAATACATACGAGTATGGGTAGGAACTCTACCAAATTGTCAATAGTCAGTAATCAAATAAAATCGTAGCTTGACCTTCTCTCAGCAAACATAGTTTCGCATTTTGACAAACATTGTGAAAAATTCAAACGGTATTGCTAAAGAGCACAATCGAATTAAGAAATCCAGTACTTACGTAATTTAGTAGTACTTAAGTAACCTTGTGTACAGGTTACTACTTAGGTAACACATGAATATGCCATCTTCTGAATGTTATTATATCTACAACAAAGGTATCTAACCGTTTGATTTTGTTCGTATCCTTGACGTAATAATGCCATATATAATATCTGCAAAATGACACCTTTTAAATTTTACCTGTATTTTTTTATTTGGATTACACATAAAAAAATAGGATAAAAAGAGAACGTTTGGTAAGATACAGTTTTGTGTAAGCCAATTACAGGTATCCACATCACTCAATATATTCCCAGATACAAAGGAATAATAATAATATAATAAAAACTTGAAAAATTAAGAAACCCAAATTATTCATTAATGTACTGAAATTTAAGTAAATAATTAATTGTAAGATAGGAGAAATAATTGATTCATGCATATGTAATAGAGCATTATAATAATTAAATATTTTGTGAAAAATAAGACAAGGAATACATGTAGGAGGACTATACACAACACTAGCATCGCTTACCCTAGGTGTATCTAATAAGGCCGCGTCTGCAAAATAACACCTTTTCAGAAGAGAATTTTAAAGATTCTACGAAGGAAATTACTCTATAACTTTTACCTCAAGGGCTCAACGGTTTGCACTGTGGTCATTGGATGAAGTTCCAAGTTCGATTCCTAAAGGAGCAATTGGGAAACTTAACTTTCTAAACTTGTTCTGGTCTGGGTGTTCTGGAAAGTGCTTCTGACTGAATTTCGTTGCTCTGGGAAGTAGGGTAGGGAATTCCCTAGTTTGACATCAGGCAATTGGTAATGTTGGTTGGTTGTCAATATATGGCTATCCTATTTAAACATAAATAGTTATCTACTAATTTCCTTTATATAATGTTTAAACCTCCCTCCGGAAAAGGAGTCATTTTGCAGATGTGGCCTTATTGTGGCCCAACAACAACTTTGAGACTGTAATATTATATTACGTCTTACTTTTGTGATTTTTTTAGAATTAAGATAAATTTTGAAGTTATTATCGTAAACTCAATTGGCTATCATTTAAAAAGTAATTTTACGGTCCACAGACAGTATCTCACCTAAAAGTATTATTGCACATCATGATCGGAGTACTGCTTGGCGTATTCTTCGAGAACGCCGGCAACGACGGGTCGAAGACCCTCAGCAACATGGGCTTCTACATAATCTCCCTCGCTTACCTTTGCTATACGTCACTCATGCCTGCCGTGCTACGGTGTAAGTACTGCTTAAATATAAGGCCCTAAAAATTAATTAACATTGAAAGTGAAACTATTATTTCAGATAATTTTTTAATTTTTTTTAACCAATTTATGCTTTTCGCTCTCCAAAAATAAAAGAAACTGAATAGGCTGACGACTGCGATAGAACTGCAACCTAACACAGCCCCATAGGCGGTTTTCTAATGCACTCACCTCACCAACGAAATATGTATTAACTTGTCTAAACGCGATCGGAAATACTGGGGTCTTGAATATAGAACTATCCCAAAATTTAAACGAGCTGTGCCAAAATAGACCACAAAGACACTCTAAATAATATCGCACCCTTGATATAATAGGGCCACATCTGTAAAATACTGTTCAGTAATGCATAATGTATGTTATGGAATTAATGCCTAAATAAATAAATAAATGAACAAATAAATAAAAATAAGACACACAGACACACATCAGAGCCGTGCCCTGGACGTGCTACAGACATGTGTGATCGAGGTTATACAAAATATACGTAGCGATATTTTTTTGAGCCCCTGACGGAACACGGCCCGTCCACGTCCCGGGCACAGCCCTGATGTTGTGGTTAGTCCTAGCCGGCAACGCTGTGCAGATAATAGCGTGATAACATAGCATCTATTACTGTAACGCATATTTTCGAAGTCAGGTTAAGAAAGATTTTTTTTTAATCTCTCCTTTTGCATCGGGCGTTAGGAATGAAACTAGTTTTAGCCGACTTCAAAAAAAGGGGTAGGTTCTCACTTCAACTCTTGTATGTTACGCGATAACTTATTTGTGAACCGATTTTGAAGGTTTTTTTTTGTTGGAAAGAGGGTACCTCAGAAATAGTCCCATTTAAATTTGAAGAAAATATTCCACCTCTAAGGATGGCAGACTAGGGGATGAATGACTTCTGATGTCGGTTTTTTTAGAACTCTGTAGTGATAGTAATTTTAGAAAAATATAAATAATTTTCAATATTCATACGTTCGACTGGCTAATGTAATTATGATAAAGCTATTTATATTTTATTTATTTCAGTTCCCGCCGAGTTGCCTGTATTGAAGAAAGAAAATTTCAATAACTGGTACAATCTTGGTACGTACTACGCCGCTGCTTTGCTCACTGGCATACCCGTACAAGTAAGTATCTAAAAATTTTAGATTTCCAAATAAAAATTACATTCTTAGTTTGGTTTAATCTGTTAGTAAGATACGATATAAATATAAACCTTGAGTAATTCATTTATTATGAGTTCATGCAAGAAAGTACTGCCACCTTTCCTCTTTCTGCCAACCAATGAAAATCACCAAGCAGTAATGTGTGCCTTCCGGTTTTGAAGGGTAAGGGTGCTGGTGAAATTGCAAGCACATGAGATTTGTCAACTTGTCTCAGAGTTAGGTATATATGCAGTGGAAGTGCTGGAAGTTAAAGCTCAGAGTTGTTTAGCAACTATCATGGAGAGGAGTCTCGTATGTTCTTCCCGTCGCTTAATATTATAACAATGAAATTTAAATAACTTATGCATACTTCTTTGTAAATATTACAGAATAAAAGATAAAGAAGACTTAAAATATATAATGTACATTCACCAGCATCTTTTATAGTGGCAGTACTTCCCTGGTTGAGCTCTTTCACAAGAAGCTCTACAGCTACTAAATAAAAAAAAATTAAATAAAATTTATTTGACAGCAAATGTTTACAATTTCTTTTTTTACCACGGTCCCCACACTAGGCAATCCTGAATCGTGGGGTCCTGGACATGCAATTTACATACATATTTTTTTTAGTCTGTAAAAGGACTAGAAATTTTTACAAGAATAAATATAATAAATAGATATATAATTTAAATATTAACAACATTTTATACAACCTTATAAACTAATAAAATCAATAAAATCAATTGCTGTTATGGCATATAATTAATCAAATTTTCAACAAAATTATGAAACAAACCAAGCAATCAGTTCTGGAGTACATGTACAGTACACGAGCAGGTTAGTGGTCTAGACTCACTTTTCACTAAAATTAAGTAATTTAGTATTGTACTAACCATAGCACGTAAGAAAAATTTACTATATTACTAACATTATTATGGATCATGGTCCGAAATAAATAATTCTATTCTATTCTATTCTATAGCTTTGAATACTGGGAGTCTACTCTCGATCTCCGTCTGACATCCGTCCGAAACAATGACTGCCAACTAAGCAATACTTGACCAAATGAAAAGACGCGTGATGCGAATGGAGCTTCATTCTTGATATTTGTCTTTTAATTTTGTTGACTCCCAGAGCTGAATTTTATGTCACGAAATCTAAAGACGTTGTTATATAAGAATGCGGATTGGAACAGAGCATGATAGGGAGCTGGATATGAAATACACGTTTTGTAATCATAGCACTGTAGTCAGTTGATCGAAGAACTTGCATGGGTGTTGATTACAATTTTAAGAGCGAAGAGCTTGCGAACGCTGAGAACACCAGCCTCCTCGAAAAGTCGTAAATTGCAATGCAAGCAATGCAATGTTACTGACCCTTCTTGTTCTCATTTCCAGATATGGTACAGCTTCGTCTACTCGGCTCCATCGTACTTCTTGTCAGGGCAACCGCAGGAGTTCTCCCGCTTCGGCATGTTTGTGCTGGTGCTGGCCCATGTCACTGTGTTGGCTGACGCAATAGGAAACATTATTGGCACTTTAGTTAATCCTATTGTGAGTAATGTATACGTTGATAATTAATAATAAATAACGCATGCACTCATAGCCCCGCACTAGGAAAACTGTGTATCGCGGTGCCATGGACAAACACATAGATAACAACAAATTACACCCAAACTCACGAGAGAAATAAATGTAGGCCATATAAATATCTCTCCTCGCCCGGGTATCGAACCAGGAACCTCTGCGTAGCAGTCCAGTATGTAACCGTTCGGTTACAGAGGCATTTAGGTTAATTCCTGAACTAACCATAACCAAAACGTCCAAGGCCACACTCAAAGTTTTGTATACAAGGTGCACGTAATTTCGTAACCATCCATCAAAAGGTAGAAATTATATTGTCTTCTTATTTTTCTTTCAGAACGGCACATTCTTTGGCGCCATAACGACATGCGCGATGATCGCTTTCGCCGGGTTCCTAGTGCTGTTCTCTCACATGAACAAAATCATGAGAACCATTTCTTTCCTCTCCTTCCTACGGTATTGCTTCGAGGCCATCGTGCTGGCAGTTTACTCCGAACGACAGCCGTTGCAATGCCCTGAAACGAAGACATATTGTCACTATAAGTAAGATATGAGTCAACTGCTATCCAACAATTCGCACCTTTAGAATGAAAGCGACCAATATGTTTAGGAATTAGCAAAATAAGTTTTAGAATAAGAATAACAAAATTTTACTGTGTTCGCCAAGACACACATGAATGTGCTTAAAAACTACCATATTATAACATTATAAACTTAAAACTACAGCATTATACAACAAATAGACAAAGAATAGTAAATTGCACACAAATGCAATTTACTTTTTTTACTAAACCATTTTTATTGTCATTTGATCTAAAAAGAATTAAGTCTCTTTCATTTTCACCTGGCAAGATGTTTTGACCTTAACAAACCGTTTTAATTGTAAAAGAGAATCCTCTAAGTAATAAATCAAGTCACGTAAGTAAAAAATTAATGATGATTTACGGAACGAAAATTCAATTGTTAATCTGTCACTTTTTCACAAACGGTGGTGGCGTGTTGTCTTTACAAATACAAATTCAACACTAAATGCGGCGTTTACATACCGACACGGGAGTGGAATTTCAAACATATTAAAGAGGCCCCATATAGAGAGTGTGTTTTATTTGAGTCAGTTCCAAAACTTCCAAATTAACTTTACAACCTGATGAACAGTAATGTTTAAAGTTGTTTTACGGTATAAACTTATTTTCTTAATTTTTAAATTAGGTCACTTTAATTCTAAAGGTGCAATTTATTATCCTATATTTTACTGCGTTCCGATTTTGAAGAATAAGAGTGCTGGCGAAATTACAGGACTTGTGAACTGTATGAGTCTCAGTTCTTTGCGATTTAAAGCTCTGAGTGGCATTGAAACTACGCATATTATGGGCAGGTGTGTCGCTTAACACCGCCCGGGGGCACGATATATTTGTTCCGTCACTTTGTATAATTATTTTGAATAAGAGGAATAGTAAGGTCACATTTACAAAATAGTATAAGTTACTAGAACACCCTAATATTCAGGCCGCAAAGAGGCGGCCGCGGGGACGATCCGGGCGCGAGAATTTTTGTAAATTACGAGTTTATATGAACCCTGCCACACTGAAACGCGCGGCCGATGAAAAATTCCTGCGCCCGGAATGCTTCCCCGGACACCTCTGTATGACTTGTGCATTAAGGAGGTGCGTGCGAATGTAACACAATAGTGTTGGGGTCTTTTGACAGAGCTGCAGAATATTCTAATTTTATTGCCATGTTTCAGATACCCACAAGAACTCATAAAAGAACTCGCGTTGAAACCAGACAACTTTTGGTGGGATATAATTGTATTAGCAGTGAGCATCGTTGTATTAAGAATATTAGCTTATTTCACTTTAAGAAGAAATGTAAGGATGTCTTGATAAATGGCTGAAATTGTTTAGATTTTTTTTAAGTTTATTTAGTAGCTAAGGAAAGTAGGTGCGCGGTACTGGCTGTAATGTGCACCGCATATTCCAAACTGTGGTCCTTTAACACGTACAGACCGGCGTGTACTATGTGGAGCGCGGTCAGCTGGTCCATCAGGCGTAGTACCACCGGTGGTCACACAACACTTGACTTTTGGTATACTAAGAGTCGTATTCCAGATCTCTACTCAATGCTCAAGTCAGGATTTGAGTATGATTCAAAGCACTAGAAATCACACTTAAGTCCTTGCCATTAGGGTCGTATTTCCAATGCTTGAAATCATACTCAAGTCTGCTCAAATCCTGACTTGAGCATTGAGTAGAGTTCTGGAATACGACCCTAAGAAACCCACGCCGCCTTAAGAGAAAATGCTAAATTTAACGGTCCCGCCTTCTGCAACAATAAAATTTTCATAGTGGTCTCTCAGGAGCTCATGTAGGAGAAAAAATAAATGTTAAAAAGCATTTATTTGAAAAGAGAACTAGAAATATACTTAATAGAAAAACGAGAATAAACAGCAAATTATTTCTGATAATTGTATTAAAACAGTCAGAACTGGCAAAAAAATCTTCTCAACATTTATTTAATATTAATTAGAAAGAGATAAAGCCTAATTTCGCCATTTTCACCGGTGGTGCACCCCGCCCCGGTAAATTTCTTAGTTGATGAGGCGATGATGTACCTACCACCGATGGCCATGTGAAATCTTTCCCACCGGACAGCAAATAATGGTAATTTTGTTCCCGGTCTGAACGTGTTAAGAATACATGAGGCGCTCAGGTGCTTTAAAACTCGATTATGCAATGTAATTAACGAGTAGTAAATATTAAGGTACAATTAGGCTAAGAACTCACGAAGTAGTTTTCATCCGCACACGCCGTGGCCGAGGGACATCTGTTTTATTTCAGTACTCACGACACCGTGGCGGACGGACCGCAAACTTCGCGGGAGATGATCGCAAGTCGCGCAGTTATTTACGAACGATTGAGGTCGTCGTCGGCAAAACGACCGCAGCGCAGAGTGCGCAAGTGGCAGAGTCCCGTGCGGTTCTACTAGTATATCCCGCAAATGTTGCAGCTACCGCGAACAACCGTCCCCACCACAGACGTAAAACGAATCATGAAGTGTGCTACTAAATTTTACAAACATTCTACGGAAGCTGCGGTCGCGCAAGCACGGCGTGCGCGGGAGAAAACCACTCTGTGAGTTCTAGCCTTACGGGTCATAGAAGGGTGTCGGAATAATAACGACATTGTATGGATAATATCATATATTTGTAAAAACAGAGGAGCAAAGAATGTAGCTTTATTTTTTTTAGACTGTATGTCCACAGTATGCACTTAAGTCATAATAACTGCTTTGAAAAAACACCATTATATGCGATTCTTCTAAAAGGGTCATTTTTGTGAAAATAACGACAGCTTTATAGTAGATATACATATAAATAAAGTCGATACATGAAGTCGAGTACATTTTGCTCGGTCAGATCTCTGACGCGAATTAAAACATGATCCCTTGTTTGGACTATTTATACAGATTATTTATAAAAAAAAACAACCTCACAGGACTATATTACGAACATCATAAACATTCATTTTTGCTCTATGACTTTTGGGCCCCAACCGAGGCCCCCAACCGGGCCCCTAACCTGCCCCCAACCGGCCCCCAACCGGCCCCCCAACCGGCCCCCCAACCGGCCCCCTAACCTGCCCCCAGCAGGCCCCCAACAGGCCCCCACAACCAACGCCCTAACTCACCCCCATATGCCTTATAAATTTATCATAATTGTCAGTTTTAATTGTTAATTGTTAGTCAAAAACATTGAAAAGATTGAAAATTGATTAATTGTTAATTGTAAAGTTTGTTACTGAACGAAAACGACGCCTAACTTTGTTTTACTAAACGATTTTATTTTTATTTCCCGCTAAATAAAACTTCCTACAATGTTTCTAAAAGAAAGAAAATAACATGAGCTCTCAAATTATAGTTTTGTAATGTCATTAAAATATATAAATAACCGTCATTGTGAATAAAAACCGCCGAAGTATTTTAATAACCGGCAATCTATCTCACTACCGCTACACATGTCTCTCAACCCTGACATTGGCAAAATCGTCGCGCAAAACGACGGAGCCATAGACACAAAAGTTGAAGTTGAAGTTGAAGATTTTGCGATTAACGATTGATCAATTGTTAGTTGCGAGAACCGCAATCAACAATTGATTAATTGTTAGTTGCGGTTCTCGCAACTAACAATTGATCAATCGTTAATTGCTGTTTCGCAATTGACAATTAATCAATTGTCAATCTTTAATTGCCAGAACAATTAAATTTTGCCCAACACTGTCACTGGGTGGGGACCACTTTGGGAAACTATGATATAGTCGACGAGGTTGTTAATATTTCGTCAAAATGTCACGAGTCTGGACCCAGTTGTAAATTTACTCCGTTCGTTTTAGATAATAATAATTGGTATTGGCATTTAATTGAGCGCTTGAAATAAACGGACAGATAATTTTATTATTTTAGTTGTTGTTTTACTTACGTATTATTAAGTAACTTAATAATAAATGCAATGTAATATTATTATTTTTTATTCTATTCTCAATCTTGCCAATCTTATATACAAGTGACACGAAAAGTGTTATGTAACTAGTTTCAACTGTTGCTAATAAACTTAATTGTCTTGTCACCACTGAATTTCTTTATAAATACTCGTATGTTACATCTTTGAATCACTTTGTCTTTTAAATACAGTCGATGCTCCTGATCCTCTTGCCGATTTTTTGTTTCCGATAATTTTCGGAAACAAAAAATCGGCAACTTACGTATTGAAAAAGGAAAAATGTAAAAGAAATCCAGCTTTATGGTTGAAATTTGTAAACGTTACGATCGCATTGGCTTAAAAAGTTTCTTAAAATGTCATTTGCTAGTGATGCAATAAGGATGTCATACCGAAATGAACTTTACAACTCACAGGTTAAAGGTTAAGTTTTTAATTTAACCTTTAACCTGTGAGTAGCAATTTTTTAATTTATAATTTCTTCACATTTATGTAAAATTTACAATATAGTTTATGAGTACATCCGAGGGCATCGACTGTACTCATAAACTATATTGTAAATTTTACATTTTAATGTATTGTCATAAGTACAAATTATCAATTACTTTATATGCGGTACTGGTTTTAGCTTTTAAGTTATTACGAAAAGAACCAATAAAATACAATAAGTCACCGGGAAAATGGATAACGTAAAATGTTTTAAAAAATGTAAAATAGTATCTATGTTATTATCATAAGGCGGAAAAAGGTGTTCCACATATATAGACATGTATAGACGCAGTTGTTATGACCACCAAATATTACTCTATTATTTTTTCGAATTCCGAATTTCCTGAAATGGTTTTCCTGTATCGCAGGACAAACAGCTAACTTAGGAAGTGGAAGTTGGATTTTAAAGTAATTATTATGTCTTAACAATAAAACTATATACGTGAGGCGCGCTATAAGTTGGAATGAATAAGAAAAAAAATACTATAAATGGTCAGAAATAATAATAATAATAATAATGTACACACTCAACATAGCCACGTACTAGGGAAACCCTGTGTCG